AGTTTTAAGGGAAGCCCTCTTAGCTACAACTACCCACCTGCTGGTCAATCAGCAGTCATTAAAACAAAGTGAAGCAACATAACAAAGACAAAGGTAAGCTGCAGCGCAAATTTAAATGATTACAAAGACTATCCCAAAGTTTTAGTTACAATGAAGAAATGTATGCTTGTTTGAAATTCAAGTGAGCTAGAAACTGCACTTCTATACTCACTGCAGCCTCTACAGGTGCTTATGTTTTATCCCATTCTCATTTATTTACAAAGTTAAAATTAAAAACTAACCAGAAACAGCTGTTACAACAGGGAATGCTCTTCTTAAGTTTTGGAGATCTAAAGAAGAATGTGCAAGAAAATACAACCAATACTATTAACTAACATATGCCTAATTTTTAATTACATACAAATTACACCTCTCAGGTCCTCATCTAGCCCAGTAAAGAACTAGACTATTTCTGACAAAGAAACGAAACAAAACTAGGCCCCACATCTTTTAAAAGCTCAAGGAGGCTTTCAAGCCAGGCCCTTGAATCCATTAGGCACACTACAGCACCAGGACAAGTGGCTGCTGTCAACAGGACCAAGCTCACAGTGCCTTCACTCATTGATCTCGATGACCAGACTAGCCTGGAAAAAGTAACATATGTAAAACAACAGGCTGAAGGACAAACTGCCAGATTCCATGCAATCCTGCACAAAGCCTGAAACCATCTGCATCTTTCTGAGATGCACATTTACAAACCAGAAGGGTTTTCTCTTTTACAGACAGAACTTTCTTGCCCACAAAAATTCAAGAGGAAACATTTCTCGAGGCACAAGTACTGATTTGTTCTGGCATCTTTCTATTCCCATCAAATACTAGCCCTCAAGTCAATTGAGCATAAGCTCTGTAGTCAAAACAAAATTCAAAGCATTACCTTTAATTCTTCTATGGACTGGTACCCATTGTTCTTGATCTTCTCTTTCATGGTACTAAAATCCATTGGGTTTTTAATGATCATGGAATAGCCAGGAGCAATAAAGTCAGTCACAGGAAATGAAAAGAAAGAACTTGGATCCTTTCTGTTGAGAAATGAAAGATTTTTTTTTTTTAATGTTTCAACTTATAACAAAGAACATACTGAGTTTGGAATTAAATACAAAGGAAATAACTAAGATAAAAAGAAATCAGAACTATAAAGAGAGAAATAGCTTGCATCAGCATAATCTTTGCCTTTCAAGGTTGAAAAGATCTCATATGCAGACCCATACACCAAAAAAGCACTACAAATGTATTTCAGAAGTTCCTTCTATATTTTGATAACTACCTGTGTCCCCCAGAAGATGACAAAACACAATTTCTAAAAAAGTTTTAGATTTTAACAAAGGTGTTCTATACCACAGTAGAAATAATTAAAAAATAAAAGAAATATATAGAATATAAGAATAATCTTGTCATTTACTGCTCACTCAGAAATTACCAGAAGGGAAGAGACAGGGTTCAACATCAAAAGTGCTGCTTTTTGTATGCACAGAAAGGGAGCCAAAACTAACACAGACGTCTTTTGATAGTTTAAGTTTCTTGAAACTGATACCACACCTAGGTGTTGAAAATTTAGGGATAAGAGAAAATTTGCAAACAAAGTTTCAAGCTCAGCCTCCTGAGACAGCTAAAGGGAAAGACCTTTCAACCACTCTTGCACAAGATGCAGATACTCTTAAAGTCAAGAAAGATTATTTTAAATAAAAGACTACTTGAAAGAACTGTAGACTTGATTGTTTTAACCAAAAGACATGTGGTTAGTAAAACAGTAAGAGAACATGCTTGAAGTTTTCAAGTGCATACTTCCTTTTTATAGTAAATAATGCTAAAATAGGAGAACTCAAGGTAAAAGAAACTTTGGCAAGGTAATTATAATCTCTTGTGCTTTCCTTTCAAAAGCTTCCACTAAAGAAAGCATCACATTACTGGAAAACTTTCCTGGTTTTGAAAGCTTTTTAAAACTACTATGAACTTGAAACTGGAGGTGTTCACAACAAGCCTAAGCTGAAGAGAAGTTCTAATTACACTTTCTTAAACTAGTACTTAAATTCCTACAACAGCCTTCTTAGCAATATATTTACCAATAATATTTTGACTCAGCTTTGTGTGTGCCCCTTCCTTTACTGGATGCTATTTTCACTTCACATCTCTGCAAGCCTGTAGCACAGACATTACCTCTGCAGCTGTCTCATGAGTTGATTCAGAGCTTCCTGAAGTGGTGTCTGCTCCACCTCTAGACCAAAAACAAGGGAGGGGGAGAAACAGTGTGAGGCAGAACTGACTGCACTTCCAAGATATTAGAAATCAACCAAACAAAACTGATGCACCTTAACAATTCAGTGCAAAGAAAAGAATACCATGGCAAACCCCACAATACCTACAGGGGATCTACTTTTCTCATTGCCCTTACTTGACATTCTGCTCACTCTGACAAAAGTACCAGGTGCCACTCTGCAAAAGTGTACAGCAACCCAATACCAAACTTTTGTCTGAGAAAAATACTGAGATGGCACAAAATGCCAAGTCACTTGCTATAGAAACAAACAAAACTAAAACATGAGTCAATTACAGAAAACATGAATTAGCAAAAGAAATTTCTTTTTTCCCCCTACCCTCCTGCTTGGATAAAGTGCTCGTCAGTGGTTTCTCTGGTGACAATTCCATTCTGACGGGGGTCTGACATTTCATTTCCTGTTCTCCTTCACTGTCTCCATGGTCTCGATCTCGTTTCTTTTTATCCTCCTGGAAAGATTGTTATGGAAATGTAAGAGCACCTGCAAAGCCTGCATTATTAATGTACATAATGCTCTCTAGATCTTTCAAGACATATTCACAAAGTTTTAAAAAATAAGAATAGCTTGCAAGTGCTTAAAAATTCTGTATTCTTTATGTACTGTCTCCATCTGCTGGACACTGAAATAATTCAGTCACGCAATGCACTGTATCACTGAATTAGTTATTTAGAAAATGTGACAGCTATTTGGTGTGTATAATTTAAAAATGAGACAGGAACGCCTCACACACCGAGGCTGGAATGTATTCCAGTTTAAGAATACAAGTTACAGTTATGTCTGCTGACCTTTGGCTGTGATACCTAGAGAAAGTAAAAGCTTTTTTTTTTTTTTGCTAAAATGCAGTAGCGTGAACACATACCTTAACTTTTCTCCTTCTTTTCTCCTTTTCTTCGCCAGGAACTTGTTTTTCTCCTTTCTTTCTCTTTTTCCTTTTTCTGTCCTTGTGTTTTTCATGTTCAGATTTATCCTCGTAGAGGCTGGAATCATGCCCTGCATTTCCAGTGGAGAGCTCAGCAACTTCATTTCCTCCAACTTTCAGCACCAGCTTCAGTGGCTTTTCTACGTATTCTTAAATCAGCAAAGAAACAGGCTGTGTGAATACCAGATGAAACACACTCCCGTCCCCAACACCCCGCGCGATCACTGCTCTATGTCCCCGCACCACTTCCCCATTTCCAGCCCCTGCAGCCGCCGGTCCCGCGCGGAGCCGAGCCCGCCCCACCTCCGGCCCCGGGCCCGCGGCGGAGCGAGGCCCCGCTGCCGCAGCCCGGCCGTTCGGACCGCCCCGCCGCTGGGCGCTTCGGGCCGCGCTGCCCGGCGGCCTCTGCCCGCCCACCCCCGTCGAGACCCACCCTCGTAGGGATGTTTGTCCGACTTGTGCTTCTTGTGCTTCTTCCCCATGGCCCCGGCGCGGCCCGCCCGGGACAGGCCGCGCTGTTGAGGCGGTGCCGGCCGGCCCCGCGCGGTCCGCAGCAGCGATGGCGGCCGCAGCGCCCCCTGGCGCGCTGGAGGTCTGGCACAGGCGCGGCGGCGGGATCGGGAGCCGCGATCCGCCCCGAGCCGCGATCCGCCCCGAGCCGCGGTCCCCGAGCCGCGGTCCCCGAGCCGCGGTCCCCGAGCCGCGGTCCCCGAGCCGCGGTCCCCGAGCCGCGGTCCCCGAGCCGCGGTCCCCGAGCCGCGGTCCCCGAGCCGCGGTCCCCGAGCCGCGGTCCGCCCCGAGCCGCGGTCCCCGAGCCGCGGTCCGCCCCGAGCCGCGGTCCGCCCCGAGCCGCGGTCCGCCCCGAGCCGCGGTCCGCCCGCGACTGCACGGGCAGAGCTCGGGGCATTTCCCCTTGTGAGCAGCCCCCTCCGCCCCCCACAGGCACCGTCGCCCTCGTCGGGTCTTCCCCTGGACTGGCCACGCGGTCGCCCGTTCACCGCTCACCTTCAAGTAGCGGTAACAGCGTGAGGCAGCGCGCAGCCACGGAAAGCGCCACCGCGGGTTTCTTACCTGGAGTTCTGGTCAGCAGCTGGCACCGGTGACGTCTCAAAACCGCCAAGTGCGCGCTGCATTCTCAGCGGCGGTGCCCTGCGGCTGGTGACAGCCGCCAGCTGCACGTGCGCGCCTCTCCGGCCCCCGCGTGCGCTCATTCCGAGCCTCTCAGCCCGTGCGGTGTTTTAGGGTTCACTGGTGCCCCATGGGTTTCTCGGGCGCGGCACTGAATAGTAACCGTACACGAGCATCTGCCTCTGGTCTCTGCTATCAAAGTTGGTTGAACGGATCACTTCCATGCAGCAATATAATCAATAGGTAAACTTTCAGTGACCTTCATAAATTACTTGTCGTTCTAAAGGGAGAGGCTAACGGTATGGAGTGTGTGGCAGGAGCAAGTGTGCACTTATTCTGTGTCACAGTATTAGAACACAACAGGGACAGCATTAAAACGCTCTTTCCACTGTGACTCCACTGAAAGCTTCTTCACAGTTTCTTCAAGTTTTTGCACTCCAAGCAAACACCACATTCAACCATCTGATTGTAAACATTGCCATTCCAAGGAAACCACTATGAAATCTATCAATAAATGAAGTTCCCATTTAAGGCTTTTACAAGACAGCTGCTGCAGTTGTCCCACCTTTTGGAAAACTTACATGTTAAAATTTAAAACATCAAAAGAAATCTGGGAAAAAAATATACAACTGCAAAACAACTTTAAAGAAGAAAGTCAAGAAGGAATTTAGTATATACTTTGTTCCATATATACAAATAAAGAACTGTGATTCTTAAATACTTAAAGAATGAAAAAAAGTGAACTATTACCAATAAACAAAGACATCTCTGAGAATCCATCTTTTAACAGAAAGTGCTTAAATTATATTCTTAAAACAGTGCTGTGAGCAGCACAATAACAGGCTGACAAGCATCTTGCTGCCTTTTTTTTTAATACGTAAAAAACTCACAAAAAAAAAAACCCTTCTTACATTATCAGAATTATCAGAAAAGGAGTAGATGAAAAGATAAAGTCATCAGCCAAGGATTTTCCAATTACTATATGCTGCACAGTATAGAAATATTCAAACAACTACCCTGCCCCACGTCCCCAGAGCTCTCAAAAATGTCTCAGTTCTTTGGATTAAATGATGACCAACTGAATTGATTTTGTCGTCTTGGCAACACCAAATCCAATGTCAGATCTCTTTGTTCTTTTTCTGAATCCACCAGCTGATAACCAAGAATGTTTATAGCACCTTTGCAAACTTCCTGTATTTTCTTAACTTTCTGAAAGGAAAGAACATTTCTCCAGGCCTGTGAAACACTAACTGCATCTCGGGATGTTATTTTGAAGGCCTCTTTTTTTTTCCCCGGTCCCTGTCCATGTGTGATATTATAGATCCAGCTTTTGAGCCTGGGAGTCAAACTAAGATCTGCAAATTTATACATTTCTGAGATTTCTGATAACGGATCTCTTACAAGATCTTCAAAACGGACCATTAAATAGCGATCTTTCAGGAAATTAGGTGGTTTTAGAGTAGCTGTTTCATAAATCTGAACATGACTTCTACAAACCTCTTGCATTACTTTATATTTGCTATCTTCCACTTTAGTGCCATTGGTACTCAAGACAATTCCGTTGTCACGGGCTAATGCTTTGACTGATTGCTCCCGTGACTTAACGACTGCCCTGGGGTCACGGACCAGGTGAATAATTTTGAGATTCAGGGACGGATCAGTGAGGAGCGGGTACAGGACCTTCAAGTCAAAGAATCGAACTTCCTTGATGACAACATGGCTGTAAGTTTTACAGGCTTCCTCCACCTTGCTGAATGGATACCGTCCACAAAGAGTCTTGCATGCCAATTCACTGGTTATGTCAGTACGTTGAAAAGAGTCACAAGCAGGAGCTGAACACAGAGCCCGACTGGCTGCCCACTGGAAAAGATCGGATAAGTTCCTTTTCCAAGGCATGTAAGCATCAAACACAGACATGTCACACAGAAAGACCGACCTGACTAAGTCCCGCACTGCCATGTGTAAGACTTTGGCACTGTTCTGGTACATTGTAACCCACACGTGCCAAGCAGGTTCCATCAGGTAGAAGACACTGGGGTGTTGGCTGAAAAGTTGACCGACAAAAGAAGATCCTGAACGCCAAGAGGAGAGAATAAGTATGTGGACTTGTGATGGTTTCTCCTCAGATGGAGGCATGAAGCTACTGTACCGGGCATACATGAAGAGTAAGAATCCAGTTTGAACCGTAACAAAAATTATAACAATTGTGCTAGGAATTCGAATCCTTGCCATTCTGACCGAGGAAGGGTGGTGAAAAGAAGCTGAAAAAGAGAAGGGAAATACTAGTGAACCATTGCTCCTGTGGCACAATAACAATACAACTTAGACAATACAAACTCTTGCATTAGTAAAACCTTTCTTCAAATGTGCATGTACATATGTGGCATTAAGTGCTTCCTTAATCAGTTGCACTTGGGGACGATCACTGCAGGTGGCAGCTGCTGGGAAAAGAGAAGGAAGTAATGTGTGACAGTAAGATCAGTGCAGCAATAAGCAAATAAGTAAATGTTCAATGTTAAAGAAAACCTTGGGCTGATGCAGCTCAACCCTTGGAAAAAAAGCAAACCAAAACTACAAAATACACAAGGCCCTCAACTTGAATACTGGTAAACATTGCCCTAAAAAAGGAAGAAAAAAAATTTCCGACTTGCTCATCTGTATTTCTGTTTCAATTTAAAATTACAAGGATTTCTATCCCCTAAAAGGAGTGGATGCGAACATTGGTAGCTGTGGGTGCCGAAATAAAAATCATCTTATCTAATCCGAGCGCTGTACCCTACAGTGGCCACAGGGTGCTATACCAATTGGTGCTTGTCCACAACCCTCTATTTTCCAAACTGCAGGAGGTAGAAGATGCATGAAAACTCACAACCTGAAGCCACACCTGGCCACAGATGATAAAACGAAAAAGCTGCTGACACGTATCTTTGGTCTGGAGTGTATACACCCCCAAGACTGAATACTCTGAGTTTGCATTCAAGAATTACCAGTTTGGGAGTTAGATTTGTCTGCATATAACTCCTAGAAAACCTTAGGCATGTCAACCCCAAGTGGATTTCTGCTTTACTTTGCAGTCAAAGTTCAAGATACATGCACTCCCCACAGCTTTTTACTAGAGGTTTTTGGCACCTACCATTTTGTGCTCACTCATGCAGATTCCACTTGTAAGCAGGCAGTAAATGTTAGCAGGCAAGGTTTTAGGAAAGTAAGACTCCTCCTGTACGTAGATCATCTCAGAAGTTCTACATATACGTATTTGTTATCTAGCTGCATTTACAATTTGCAATTACAATTTTTTTCTTGTTACAGTGAAAGACACATTTTTCAACACACTCTGAACTCTTGAAAGAAAATAATGCAGACTAGTAAACATAGATACATATTCATTTGACATAATAAATTAAATTGAATAAAGTGACCACCCATTACAAAACTTTTAATATGCAGTACACTGCATATTAAAAATGTGAAACTCTGCTTCAAAATTCCATAGCAGCAAAAGTATACAGGACTTCAACAATTTCAATAATTACATTTATTTAAAGTAAGTAATGGAAGAAAAGCCTTCCAAGGACTGTTAAAGGCAAAAATTAGGATACAGCCAATGGCTTAGCAATTTCCTAAACCGTGAGTAGCCCATGGTATATGCCTGTATTGCAGTGACACAATGCGAGAAACAAGGCTTAAGGTACTACTTAACTTCCTCCTCAGCAGTCCACTACTTGCTCTCTCAGGCACAAGAGCAGATAGATAAATCCATAGGTTAATTCAGCTTGGCCATTGTTCATAGATAAAATCTGCCTTGTTCAAATACTGAATTTTTGCATATTATATCTCCAGAAGCATCTATATGTTTCTCTGTGCTGTGAGGATCACCAGCAATCCAGCAGCCTGCACTGACACTTCACCAAAAAGAGGGGATGAAAGAATCTAAGCTGAAGTCAAGGTACTGTTGCACTTGCTAATTGAAAGATTTTTTCTGGAAACAGGCCCTATGCCTGAAAGTCAGCCAGACACAACTATCTCAGATATTTTTCTTGAATGCAAAAAGTGAGTCATTATCTACACTAAGACTGCGTTCTGCTGCTCCTTGCAGTCTCACTTATTATGTAGCTTTCAGATACTTGATTACGCTTTTTAAAGAATTAATGTGTTTCTACTCTAGCTACGCAGACCTGTTGCTCCACTCTAATCATGCTGCAGAGCTGGAACACTAACTGCAATTTACATGTTATTAGCAGAGTGTGAGAGATAGAGGAATAAAAGCCAAAACCTGTTTTTTACATTCACTTTTGCCTTGACTCTCTCAGACCTCTCCTTGCTCCAGTTCCCACATAAGCAGTGTTGCAGACAATACTAAAAAGTCATCCAGGAAGTGAGCACAGCAGAGCTACCACAGGGCTTTTTTTCCTGCTGTGGTAACATGTGCCTTTACGGCTCCTTTTCCCCTGCATTCAGTTATTAGTCCCAGTCACGAAGCACCTCTTTGACAAGAAATGGAGGGATGGCTTCAGGTCATATTCAGCAATTACATGCCACCTGCAAGTAAATAACTTTTTCGATTGCCTCCTCTTAATGTATATAGTTCTTTGCTTACATTACTGTAGAGGATTTTTTCCAGTTTTCTCCATCTAAAGGAAAAGAGAATGTTAAGGATATTTTTCTCTGTATTTCTGGAACTAGACCTGATCTCCATTTCTTATTTCACACGCGTTCACTGAACTGTTGCTCTCAGCAGCATCACTTGTTCTAACTTAATGGCACAATACTGTGCCAATGAAAAAAACACATGAGTATTAGTCCACATCTGAACTAATCGGACTCAAGCCCTACAAATAACACCAAATGACTATAGCTGAAGTATTTCCCTACACTTCAATATGATAGAAACTGCAAGACAAAAAGTGCAATACCAAAGTAAAGCACTAAGTAGACACCAGTTTTCTATATTTAAGATTAATTTTCTGCCCTTTTGGAAGAGTTGGAGTGTTTCTAAGGAATATACACACATGTAGACACCACCAAAGAAAAAGCATAATTACACAACAAAATACAGCATCTGTAAAAGTATTCTCTTGTGTGCTTTCCAGTGCATAAGGCCAAATACACCACCTTCTCTGTAAACAGTGCCCTTTATTTCTGCACGTCTCTTGTTGGGCATGTGTAATTTTATTTTCATGTAAACAACCATTTACTATTTGCAATTGCATTCTGCAGGTGATTAGGGTGATTTTAAGCCCAGGTTAAACTTGCACTCCCTTAAAGTACAATTTTTTTAACCCAACAAGCTCTTCTGTGATATTTGATGAACTTTAGCTGAAGCAGAAAGCAGCTGTTGAAAAGCCCATAAAATAACCCTATCAAAGAGTTGCTGCAGATCTATATATGTACACACATACTTATAATCTACAGCTATCTACAATTACTACACGATATCATTGCCTTAGTTGTGGACTTGGTATTGTTGATTAACAGTTGGACTTCATGATCTTAAAGGTCTTTTCCAACCTAAGTGATTCTACAATTCCAAATGTGAGGAACAGGACCTTGCGATACAGGCTACTTCTGATCCTCTAGCTATTCCATTGCAGGACTCGCCAGATGGTGCTGTTAAGCAAGCTTGCTCTTTCAGCACACAAGTGCAATATGCCAAAACTGTACACTGAAGCTGCACACTGAAACACTAGTCTGTGACTTGCTTTGCATTGCCTCTTTCTGCTAGTGCCCTCCTCCTCCACCAACAGCTCAGTGGAACCACCTGCCCACCCCAAGCTCCCCTCTGGAAAGCAAAATTGGGGTTTGTTACACCTCCTTTTATCCTGCTTTGTTCCACGCAAGTGCTTCCTCGTAGCTGCACCTGCCTGACTATAGCATGCCCGCCAACTGCAAACATGGGGGCAGGGGGGGAAAGGAGAAGCAGCAGAGGGGCCAGATGTTTTAGCATTACTGCCACTTCAGCTGCCATCTCAGTGACAAAATCAGACTGACCCCAAGTGGCAAGGGAGCTACAAGAAGCAGAAAAACAGGCTGTAACAGGCCTCAAGTTGCAGCAGACAGCACTCCTACACCTCTCACATCTCTCAGCTGAGACTCACGAAGTATGACAACACTCAGTGGCATCACAATATGTGCTTCTGTAAATAATGAATACTCCTTAGTGTAAGTTATTTTACTAACAGTTACACTGTTATTCCTTTTCTGTGATAGTAGTAGTACTTCTTTGGTGATACCATTTCTTCAAGGAGAGCTGCGGTAAAGAGAATAATCAGAAGTCCCTCAAATTCTTGATGTACAATCATCTCTTCACAGGGCAATGAAAATTTTCAAAATGTGATCTGAAAAACATTAGCTTATATGGTTTAGTTGCCAGTCCCAAACAGAATCAAGCTCTGTTCCTGAGCTTCCCTGCTAACTGCTACTAATGGAAACAAGATCCTAGACTAGATGAACCCTGGCACAGTTCCACAATAACTATTCTTATGTATCATCCAAAGGAAATTAATTATACAAACTGGCCAACAGAGCAATAATTTCCTTCATGACTTAAACTGTCTCTGATAGACTGCTGAGCTGCAGGGCCACTAGTATCTGCTTGCCAAGAAACTAGATACATTACAGAAAGCTATCCAGTTTTACCAAGCAGGGTAAAAATACAGTCAGCAGTAGTATTGATTCCAAAAGATATCATTTCTAAGATGAGCACTTTTCAGATCCAGAAAGGCAGAAAACAAAGAAAGAAATGTCCACTGGATGATCATTTAGCTCTTGCTTCCAGGGACTTTTTGTTTGTCACATAAGTAATGTAATGTTGGAATCGAGTAATCAGATCTTTTCGGGTCAGCTCTGAAAGGAATACAGTTTCTTAGTAATGTCTTTTCAGCACAGAATTCAACCTGAAGAGACTTAATAAAGTAACAAAAACTAACTTTATAGCTAAAAAAAGACCCTCTTCTTAAACTACTATTTTTTTTCTGGGATATTAAAAAGACTGTAGAAAGACAGAAAGAGTGCCTCATATTAGAGGCTGTCAAGAAACACGCTCGCTCTTTGAGCTTTGGACAAAAGGCTGGGATGAAATACTCCCTTAGAACAAATAAGTCTGAGTCTTTTGTGGGAAGACTGAAAAACCAGCCTGGATTAAAGCAAAAACATTTGAGTGAAGAATTACAAATACCTGCTCCCCTACAATGATTTCTGAGCAACTGAATCTTAGCTGTCTTTGTCAAAGTCTTCCTTGGCCATTTTCTGTCTGAGAAAGTTTCCAGCATACTTTCATTTTAAACAGTTTGTGCAGCATTTTTAAAGTCAAAGAACTTACAGATTACACAAGAATTACTTCAAATAATGTACTCAGTTTTGGGTCCCTTCCAGCTCAGAATGTTCTGTGATTCTGTTGATTTCCCAGATTGATTTCTTCCACTGAAAAATTAATACCTAATGCTGGATTATGTGCACAACCTTTTGTTACCCAAAAATGATTCTCCTGTATGCTGACCTTTCAGAGCAATCATATGAGATTAATGTAATTATCTCTTATGTACTTAAAATTCACCAAATGCAGCAGTACCGACTGTAAAAAGAATGATAAAGGTAAATGTCATCATGCATTTTATAGAATTAATAGGAAAATATTTGCTCATGGCATGACAAATAGATCAAAGATCACCTGAAGATCACAGCAAAGATCACCTAGTTTTCCTCATCAAATTTACTCACCAAAATGGCTTCTGTGAACAAACGTTAGAAACATAGTTTGCTACTCAAAAAAGTAAAATGCTGGAACATGACAAAGCTGGTCAAAGAATAACACACACCAGTATCACTAGTAATTCTTGCAGCAAGTCACCCCACTGACAAAACATCACCTTCCAGTATTCTTCTGCAGCTAGAAATCACACATCTTCATAAGGCAAAAGCTTACTGTATCAACAGTATGCAGACTGGTATTTGAATGGGTAAAGAAAAAGTTTTTTGGAGGGTGTGTTCTAGAATCACTGGTAGTCCTAAAAGTTAAAAATCTTTCCAGTACTAAATCAGTGAAACTCATAAGCCTAATTTTTTTTTAAATAGAATAATGAAACTGCAACTAAAATAATAAAATACAGTAAATGTACTGCAGTAGTTCTGAATTATAACATTATATTATAATTTCAGGTGATACTGTTAATTCAGCTTTTGGAAATAATACTTCTTTTTAGAATCTAGTGGTAAATGAGAGTTGAAAAATTGTTTCCAGGAAATCATCACACTTAAAGATTTTATAATACAATGAAACATACCATACATTTAGTTATATGATCATTGAAGTTCTTTTTCTAAAAGGTACTGTTTCCTCTGGGACATTTTAAAATATTTTTGGAGTTAGATAAAGTTGTCCAGCCTAAGCAAATGGCAGTGTCAAAGCATAGCCCTGTAATACCTATTCCTCTATGCACTGCAGCTGAAGACCACAAAGTGCTTTCAGCTGGTGTTCAAGTGCTTTTACTGGTGTTCAAGAAATGAGGTCTGCTTAGTTGCAGCTTTTTTTACGAATTTTTACCACGGCAAAACTGGAGTGACAAAGAGACACCCGCAGTGACTGAATGCTATTCACTTACTTGAGACTCTGTCTGCACTGGCTCAATAGCGTCCTCAAATTCAAGCAGTCCGAGGACGATTGGGCAGCGGTGCGCTCTGCGTGCCTCGCTTGAAGCAACTGTTGCAACTAAGAAATACTGACAAAGGCTTCCGATCTGCATGTCACTTTCACCTAGAAAGAGGCAGGATACAACAGAAAAATGGGAAGGGTTCTCTAAACTCTTTCATCTAACTCCAACAAACGAAACCACCTTAACCTGAATCAGCCACGTTACCCAGGGCAAAGGAAGAAAAGGGAGGGGGGGGGAAAAAAAAGGGGCCGGGGGGGGGGGGGGGTTGTAGGGCAGAGGAAAGGAGAGGGAAAAAAAAAAAAAAAACCCTTACCCTCAAAAAAACCCACCTAAAATAACCAGGCTGATTTTCGACAGCTTTCTGTCGCACTCTGTCAGTGCGACATCGGCTCCGCCGCAACTGGTATTAGCGCTAGTCCGCCGCCACAAGCACCCGACCAAAAACATCTCCTTTAAAGAACCGTTGTTTGACACCGGAAAAAAAAAAGGTCTGACCGGGACTTCCAATCCTTTGGAATAATCGCACCCCCACCCGTATCAGCCTGCCCGTACCTTGTCGCCGCCTCTCGCCACCGCCGCGGCTCGGAGCTGCCGACAGAGACAATGAATCGCTTTCAGACGTGGCCGCCGAGGCGCCGGGGCAGCGGGAGGAGCCCGAGAAGAAGCCGATCCGCCCCGCTCCCGGAGCATCCCCGGGCAAAGGCGCAGCCCGGCAGAGGCGGTCCGCTGGCCTGCCCCGCCCAGCACGAGTGGGACCGGCGCGGCGGGGCAGTGGCGTCCGGCCCGCAGGGTCCCTGCTGGCTCGCCGAAACCGGCCCGTGGCAACACCACCTATCCGCCGCAGCAGCCAGCGCCCCGACACCTCTCCTCCCCAGGGTCCCACGTGCCTCGGGCCTTCCTGTCCCAGCTGCCCCCGGCCCCCGCCTCCTCCTTCCATCCCGCCCAGCACTCCCAGGCGAACAGAGCTCGGCGCGGCCGCGTCTCGCTCGCCTCGTGCGAGAAGAACGAGAGGATAATGCCCCCCGCAAAACGGGCTTGGTGAGTTAAAAAGCAGCGACGTGGTTTATTTTCTCCGAGTTCCACCTCTTAAAACACTCCCGAAGCATGGCTCTTACACGGCCATGTTCGCACGTCAGTTTATGATAGGACTTTTAACTTAAAGCTGCTTTCTTTTTCCTTCTTACAGAACCTTGATTAATCCTAGGGATCCACCGTATCCTTTCTCAATGACGAGCATTTAGATTGCTCTGTCATATGTATAGAGAGACGATCTGTGTAATAGCACTATGGTGCATGGTAGTGGTTTTGACTTTTTGTGTTGCTCTGCAAGCTGAAGGAAGAGTCCTTGCAGATAGCTTTCTGAGAAAGGCTCTTTAAGAGGCTCTAAACCTCTTCTCAGGTATATATTTTTCCAGTGTAGTTCAGTTTGTTGCTTAAGCTACAAAGTCTTGCTTTTTTTCTATTGCTTGGTTACTTACAAAAGTAGAGTATCTCTTCAAGCTCAGAACTATGACCAAGAACTACGGTCAGTATAAAAAGTCATCCAGGAAGTGAGCACAGCAGAGCTATCACAGGGTTTTTTTCCCTGCTGTGGTAACATGTGCCTTTGCGGCTCCTTTTCCCCTGCATTCAGTTATTAGTCCCAGTCATGAAGCACCTCTTTGACAAGAAATGGAGGGATGGCTTCAGGTCATATTCAGCAATTACATACCACCTGCAAGTAAATAACTTTTTCGATTGCCTCCTCTTAATGTATATAGTTCTTTGCTTACATTACTGTAGAGGATTTTTTCCAGTTTTCTCCATCTAAAGGAAAAGAGAATGTTAAGGATATTTTTCTCTGTATTTCTGGAACTAGACCTGATCTCCATTTTTTATTTCACATGCGTTCACTGAACTGTTGCTCTCAGCAGCATTACTTGTTCTAACTTAATGTGAAAGGCTACAACAGGAGAGAAAAATGAGAGAGGGATTAATGGAGTCTCCCAGTACTGTGGCTTTCGAGCATTAGTCTCTTCCATGTTTCTGTCGCCACCTAAACAGACTTCTGTTCAGCTTGGAGGAAGATTCTTACGCATTCCATTTTTGTGGCAGTAGAACATTCAAACCCTTAAACTGCGGTCCTGTGGTCTCTCCCGAGATTTCTACCCCTTCCTCATGTCCACCTTAATGCTTGTGCCGATACATACCAAGTTCAGTCAGGGAACTGACTTGTCTAAAAAAGTGATTATAAAGATCTTCACCACAAGTAACTCCCTGAATTAACTCAAGCAGTCACACAAGCGCCATTACTGCTGCAAGGGAGAGCATACCAAATGTACACCAGCTTGAGATATGGGGGAAACAAGCTCACAGCCCCCTTGTTCATGCTGTGCAGTGGCTAGAAGCACAAAAAAGCAGCACACAGTTGCTTTGACTCTGGAGATGTTGATACAAAGCCAGTTATCGGTAGCTCTATGGTGCCACATAGAGACTTCAAAGATACAAGAGCAAACTGGAGATTTCTGAAAAAGGTAGCTCTTCTAACTGCCAGAATGTTGAATTCTAGAGGACGATGGCCAAAAGGTGGCATACTGCTAAGCTGCTCTTTCATATTTCATAGTTGCACTGTGTCTTAATAGTTCAAGAGAACCAGTGCCACTTGGAACTTTTTGCAGAATTCTGGCATGTAGAATTGTTTTAAATTCTGTCCTGCCATAACACTGCTTTGCTGGAATTAATTCTTTAATACAAAACTAAAAAAATAATGGAAATTTTGTTGTTTTCTCTTGTAAGCTTGTCTAGCATGAAAAGTAAGCCCAGATAAAGAAGATAAAATAATCTTCCCTATGACCACCAACACAGTCTTTCAATGTCTACTAGGTGATTATAATTTTTATCTGTTCTAAACTATTTAAGCTCTGAAGGTAATTATTCACTTACTTTGAAACTCTGAGGCTTCCCTGGCAGAATTTTTTTGCTAGTTTTCTTTCAAGAGATACAAGGATTCTCTGTTTTACTATTCACAGTTCACAATTAATGGTCGGGTGCTACAGTAATAATACCGGTAGTAAATGGTTGTGCAAATTTTGCACACACTATCACCCAAAACCTGACTTCTCACATCAATCTTGAATTTATTCATCATCCAATTTAATAATTAAATTGCTGAGCATGTATAGCCACAGTTACAGAAGTGCATCTCCGACCTTAACTCATCCATGCAGTTTTTCATTTCATAGTGCACATAAATGTATGTACAAATAACTCTTGACAGCTCTAAGACTGCAGAGAATTGATATACAAGAAGTAAAAACAGTTAATGTTGTTACTTTCAGCATATTATTTTCAGTTTTCAAGGTGGTTTTTGAGGCATGTTTCAGTTGCAAAAAAATAACTAGGCTCCTTTTAACTGTCAAAATTATAAACTTTTCCAGCTCCAAAGCAGTGTTCCTAAAGAAATTAGATGAATGAACATTTATTTTAAAAAGGAAGCACAAACAGAGCATACTTTGAACATACTTACAAAATTCTGATCTTCTGAAGTTAGAAGTGTATAGAGAATAAAATCAGGTAACTGTTTTTGAATGGCAATTCTATAAAGTGTTCTCAGGCATCTCTTCAGGACTGGTGCTGTTTGTAGGATAGTACTGGAGATACAGGCAGAACTGGTGATACTGGAATTGTAGTCAACACCTGATTCTGGAACAAAAACATCTTAATCCTATCAAACACCCAAAGAAAGATAAGGAGGATGCTGACATACTGGATCCAGGCAAATTTAATAATTTCCCAAAATCCTGGCTGATATTTAAAGAAAGTCAAGGAGTGTTACTAGAGGACATTCTGATGCTACCATTGCAATAGCTAAACAAGGAAACTCATAGGCAGAAGGCACAAACCTTGTTAATACATCCGTTTATGTCACAAATGCTAAGCCTCCGAACCACAGAAAACACCTAAAAGCCTTCTACCATGGTAGGTAACCATGGTAGAGCTGGAGAGAACGTCTGTCCTAGAAGATATTTAAATCAATTCTGGGTAAAGTACCTACTTTGTGCCTGAGTCATCAGGAATACTTATTGTTAATATTCAGGCAGGCAAACAAATCTTGTAAGAAGTGTGCTCCATACAGATTATTTTAAATGCAGACTTGTTCTTGTCTAAGAAAAAGAACAAAGAACATAACGAATGAAGAATTACTTTTCAAAATAAAAAAATTACAGTCTCTCTGCACATGAACAGATGTTAATAACTCCACTGCGGGAGTTACTATTTGGTGAGATGATCTTGCATACAGATTTCTAATCATTTGCTTTAGGTCACAGATTACAGTATCATGCTTTGTGAGTGGCATCTGTGACGGATTGGGACTGCAGGTACTGCAGAACCGAAGCAAGATGTACTATGAATATTCCCTGAGAATAGCTAACAAAGGCTTTAAAGGCCTTTTTAGCAAAGCTGAAAAGCAACACAGGTTCCCAATAAAGAAAGGCAAAAAGTGGTTATGAAGGCACAATCATCTGAAGGAACGGACAAATAGGTATTTCATCAACTCCACAACTGTAGAATTTGCTTAGCTAACAAAAAAAAAAAAAAAAAAAAAAAAAAAAGTTTAGCAAGTTTAGCAACACATCTAAGAGAAAACATCTTCATTTGGCCTGTATGTGATGGAGGCTCTAATATGGCCCTGTTATGTCACAGTTTGTGCAGTTTTAGAAGGATATAAGATAACTTCCACTGGGTAATGAATGGTGGCATTAACGATAAATGGCATATCTGGTGCTCTTCCAGTCATCCAAACAGGGCTGGGATCTGAAAAGACTGTTGTCACTATAATGGAGAAAGGAAATGTCCAGGTTAAAGGGCATTTAGGTATTAATACAGAAGTCATATACCTCACAAAACAGCTGCCAATATGATAACTACTACTGTCCTGTAGCTACACATTCAGGCTTACCATTTCTATCCCAATACGCTCCAATGATGTTTGCTAGATCATAGTCACTTGCAAAAGGACTTGTGCCATTGACCACAGACACCTGTTACAACAAGGAGACACTTTAATTATTCATCCAGTCTTCCACGCAGTAATTCTACTGAGTTTCTTACACAAAGTAACCGTGCCCTTCAAGGAATGAACATAAACATCAGACTGAACACCTTGGCAGAATAACCTCTTCCCTCTTGTAGTCTTAACAAGAAAACAACAGTTCCAAAGTCTCACAGTTCGCTCTGTGCGGTAGTACAAATAATTAGGATGTCTCCTAGGATACTAGGAGGATTAGGAGGTTGGGGGGGGGAGTGATTTGAATGGGAAGGGAAAAGCATTTCCTCACATTGTATCTGGTATCCAGTCCACAGTGGTTAAGTAATTGCCTCTGGTTTAATTTCAAGTCTCCATTCACATACAGCTGAGACCCTGGCACAGGAGAAAAAAACTGAAGAAAAGCCATGCTCTGCATCACAAATGTTGACATTCTCTGAAATAGTGAACACAAAAAAGGAAAATTTAGCAGGGGGAGGAGGGACACAACATACTTTTCTACCTCTTGGTATGTACACATTTTTTCTACATTGATTTGATTTTTCTAGGACTCCCAAGTTTCATATCATCACCTTAGTCTAAGCAAGAGACCACCAAATAAAAAATACCCTATTTTTAAAAAAGTGAACTACCTTAGTTAATAGTTAACTAACTTTATTAACTCAACAAAGTTCCACAGGAAATTCAGTGAAGTCCAGTGTCTGTGGCCAATGAGAGAAAGTTCTGACTAGTTGTAACATGGCTAGTCAAAAAGCAGCAACGTGACTAAACACATTCATTGGAGACACACTATAAAAAAACTCAGAGGTCAAAATCAAGGACTTGTACTCTGCAACAAGAACCAAATAAAGAAGGTAGGTTCTTAGTTCTTATCTACCATTCAGTCTGAAGGAAAATTTCCACATTTACAGTGGGATAAAAAAAGTGCTTAATTTGTATCATAACTCTCTGTGATGCTAACACCTGACCAAATACTTCAGCCCAAATTTAGAACTGTTGGGCCTTTATTCTGGGCCTCAGGCTTCAGAATGTTTTCTGCATCGCATAGCTATGCTTGCTAAGCTCGTCCATCTGCAGTCAGCAAGACTCTCTAAAGAAACAGCCTATCTTCCTAGGAAAACAACTTTTTGTCTGTGTGGCTGCACCCAACACAGCTCTGTATTATTACTCCTTTCAGGTGTATCCCTGGGTTCTCTGTGCACTGGTGGTTTACTCTTTGCTTTAGGTATTAATTGCACTGCCATTTGAGGTACAATGGCAGCAGAATTGCATTGCCTTGTCTTCCTGTAACACTTCCTCGTCCCAGTTACAAGATCCTGGCAGATGATTACCAATGCTTCAAGAGCTGCTAAGCAAAATCTAAGGAGTTTTCGGCTGCTGCAACAGCCTGACTCTCAAAAAATGAACTGGTTATGTCAAGACACAGCAGTGTGTAGGAATACACATCCTTCTGCCTATTGCAAGACTCTCAGTTATTTTCAGGTGCCACCCACAATGATACTCATTGTTGTGCATTTCTGTCCTGTATGGTGCACTACAGTCCAAGAGAATATAGAGCTTAAAAATACATTAAAAAAAAAAACCTAATAAAGTGTATCCAAATACGCAAGAGCGCTAGACGAGGAATGACACAGCAGAGGAGGAGAAAATTAAGTATTTTTCAGTAAAATAAATATTTTACAGAGGAATTTCAAATGTGCAAGGTTTCTTTTCATCTTTTGTATAACCACTACTGGAATTTTACAATGGGTCTATACATCACAACAAACAAAACTAAAAATGCTCACATAAAGCTGGTAGGAAAAGAGTAGAATCAGCTGAACGCCAACTACATGCTCTGTTGGTTGTAATGGAAGTTCCAGTTTAAAATGCAACTGATCCATTTTGCCATCATGATTTTTGTCTTCTTCTCTAGTCTAAACAAATGTTTTTTAAAGACAGGAATTTCTGTTAGAAAGAAAAACAAAAAAGTAAAACCCCAGGGGACCCTACAACTGCAGCACGCACATACCAAGGAAGCAAATAAACTGCATAGTTAGGAATGCAATAAAATGCTACTTGACTATTTACAGACAGAGGACTAGAGACAAATAAAAAGCCAGTGCTGTTGTCTGTTATACAAGGTCTCATACACCCCTCCAGGGAGGGAAAGTTTACTTCAAGGTCTTTTCTGCCCTACATCATTCCACCCATATTCCTTGCATGCCAACAAAGCACGCCTTAGTGCTGGATCTTCTGTAAGAGCAAATATATGACTGATGGTCAGGCTTGTGCCTCCTGCCATTGTAGTATGCCTCTTAAATGACCTTTGTATGCTGATTCCTGGCTCTAAGCCAAGGCTTGCTATGCTTGTGTGCCAGTGTCCAGTACTTCAGCTACTTGGAAAATATAGCAGGGCTCGTTACAGAGGCAGACAGAAAAATAACTGCCACTGTGAAATCCCAGAAAGAAAAGCGACACGTTCTTCTGAAGGCACATATCTACTTCCAAATCTAGGGATACCCTGCAAACTCCCCATCATGGTAAGTCATGTGGCCAGGGGAGAGTGGCACAACTAATTCGATGAAAGTAAACCGGTGTGTTCACACAAACCACCAGCAGTGCTTACGGACATGGTTTAATGGCAAAATTGGTAGGGCTTGATCTTACGGGCTTTTTCCAATCTAAGTAATGCTATGATTCAGTAACACTGAGAGGGAGTGAAACGGGACTCATTAAAATTTCACAAAATCCCGATGTGAGGCACAAGGTTATACATAAAGCTGCTGCTACCTGAAGGCAGCAGTGCCTGACAGGCCACCCGCTCAACAGCGCCATCAGCACTCGTGCCCTGAGCCGGCTACCGGTCCACTGGCTCCACTCTGCAGCCTCGCTTCTCGCCACTGTTGCCGGGCCGCCCTGGGCAAGCCTACCGACAGGAGCGGGACTCGGAGCCGGTCCTCCTGGAGCCTGTTGAACGCTGGGAATGTGCTCCACGCCAAGAAGCTGCCCGGGCCGGACCCGATGGTGGCGACGAAGAGAGCCTCGTACCGGAAACGAACAGTGGGCTGCTCCAGGAACGCGCTCTGCTTCAGCCAGAAACCTGAGGGCAGAAACAGCACGAGGTTTCAGGACTGCACCAGGCCCGGTCGGGCCGCGTGGGGTCCAGTGGCGCTCACCGTGGCTCCGGTAGGCCACCAGCAGCGGCGGCACATAGGTGAGCACCGTGATGATCAACAGTGCCAGTGCCGCGGCGGAGCAGAATCCAGCCCGGTAGCGCGTGTACAGCGCGGGATGCGAGAACAGCTCCACGCCAGCCATGACGAGCAGCCCCTCCCTGCACTCTCACCGGCCGCCCCCGCCCGCGCCTATAGCGTTTGCACTGGGCGGAGCCTCGGACGGACGAGAAGCCGCTCCAATCAGCGCCGAGGGCACGGGCGCCTCAGCCAATGAACGCGCACCACTGCCTCCCGGGGCCGTCGGCGAGATAGCGCCCGGCAGCGGGATGGGGACACGCGGATGGGGACACCTGCTTGGGCGACGAAGTCTGTGGAGCGGCTTCGAGTGCCCCGGGAGCCCTGCGGGCGGCTCCGCACCCTGCAGGTGACTCCGTGCCCGGATGCAACAGCCCCGCCCCGCGATCCCCGGCCGGAAGAATCGCGGCTGCTCGAGCGGTTGCCGTGGGACAGGCGAGCCGGAAGTCCCGCCTGCCGTGCCGCGGCTGTTGTTGTGACAGGGACCGTGACGGCGACAGGCCCGGCACGAGCCCCCGCCCCCCGCACACGGGCCTCGCCGCCTCTGGCTTCGCTCCCCGCCCGCCTGCATCATGAAGTGGATGTTCAAGGAAGACCACGCGCTGGGTAAGGGTGGGTCTGGGCCAGGCTCTGCCTGGCAGCGGCCCCGCTTCCTCGCTCTCCTGTGTCGCCATCTGTAGCGGTCGGCTTCCCCGGGCGGTGGTCTTGTCTGTGGGCGGACAGCCGCTGGCGGTCCTCGCCGAAGGGTAGTGCGATGCCCGGGGACGGTCTCCTCGGAAAGCTAGAGACCCGCTCGGAGGCGAGAATATGATCGCGATCCCCGCAGGCTCACGGCCCTGCCGGCGTTGCATTCTCGGCCTAGGACACCGGCAGTATAATTACTATGCAATGACTAATTACGAGTTTTGTTCACAGAGCACAGATGTGTCGAGTCCGCAAAAATCCGAGCCAAATACCCCGACCGTGTCCCGGTGAGTAGTCAAGCCAGCTTCAACAGAGTACTTACAGGCAAAGGTGGATACACTGTTTCCATCCTGCCCACTCTGATGAGTTCCTACAAAGTAAATTAATTTTCCTTTTTGTGTCCTTAGATGTTTTAAAGAAGCCCCAAACACATCTGACTACTCCAACATTTCCTCCTCTGTCCCAGTGCATATTGACAAATAAGCTTTCTAAAAACTTTCCAGGGATTTTTATGATATATCATGGTCCTGCTTTCTTCTCATGGCAATTACATCCCAGCAAATACCTTCATTGTCTTGAAGATTGTGCCTGATCCTTAGAAAGATTATGAAAACTACTGAAACCTTGACCATCTTCCAGCCTGGCTAAATTGGTTAAATGATAACCCTCATGTATTCCAAGCCTGTAACCAGTCATCATGGTGCACTTCCCCATGCAAATCCTGTTGTTTGAAGAGCCAATGCAAGTGGTGACCCTTCCTTTCTGCATTAATACCTATCAATCTGCTAAATAGTGAATGAGCTCTCTTCTTCTCTCTGCAATCCCTTTTACCATGTTTCAGTCTCTGAAAAGACCACAGTTCACATCCTTATGGAACAGCTAGCAACATGCCCACATTCTCAATTTACTTGCTTGAGTGTAAAATTTCCTACATCCCATCTTACCACATGCCAGTTAGTGCCACACCTGCCTCTCACCTTTTGGTAAGTAACTTTTCTGTTAGCAGAGAGCCCAGAGAAGAATCTTCATTCCCATTGACTTTTTCTGCTGCTCAGTTGCACCTAGTCACAAGATTTTCTCCAGTTGCAATCTGGCGAGCTGATACGATCCTTGCTGTTCTCTCTTGAATAACTAACTATTCCCTCCCACGTAGACTGCAGCATCCCTAATGACCGTACATCTCCACGGTATCCATGTATCCATTTCAAAAATATCCTTGATAACCTTGGGGGGAAAAGAAACACAGAAACTCATAGTGTGAGTCACAATGACATGCTGCTGTATCAGGAATGGACAGCAAGGTGTAGACAGATACAGGAATTGAATCTCAAATTGCAGCAATCCTTTATCTGGACCAGTATGTGTTTTCTGCTTGATGATTCAAATTGAGCCACATACCATTGATACCAAATAGTTGGTATCAATGTAACAGTCAGAAGTGTTTTTCAAACTTAATGTTTCAAGTAGAATGCAGAGCTAAGGAATGGAGACCCTGTAACCTCTTGTAAACCCCATTTCCTGACCTCCTGTGTTTTTCCTTCAAGAATCAGTCTGTGTAGTACAGTGAGCATCGGGTCTTTTTCACAAGCAATACTTAATTATCCTTCCCCCTGTACCTGTTGCTTTCTGTTTATTTTTCTGGTTTTGTTTGTAGCTGTCTTGCTATCTTTCCTTTCTGTAGTCAGTTTCTCATTTTCGAAGCAATGATGGAATACTCTAAATGTCAGTTCAGCAGAATACAAAGGTAGTGGTACCAGTACAGGGGAAGGATCACCTTCCAGTCCTTTGCCTAATGCAGTCCAGGACACTATTAGCCTTACGTGTGTCCAGAGTACACTGCTGGTTCATTTTCAGCTTTGGGTCCACATTGCAGTAATTTCATATGATCAGTGTATACAAGGTTAAGTGATATGCGTACTTTGCTGTCACAGGTGTCTTTAAGGGATAACACTCCTTTTTACACCATGACTGCCAAACACAGGCACAGGAAGTTTCAAGCCATTGTGTATATAAACAGGAGTTTCAGTGCAGCTGTAAAATCAGGTTTTACAGTGCTGAGCCAGTTCTGCCTCTGATTTGGTTGTGGTCAGGAAACCTTTTTGTTCATCCCCTCTACTCACCACTGTAAGCCTGTATGAGCAAGCAATCTACCAAAGCTGTCTGTTCATACCAATCCTGAACAGCCTGATCTTCACACCTGCACTTTACAGGTCATAGTGGAGAAGGTCTCAGGATCTCAGATTGTTGATATTGACAAGAGGAAGTACTTAGTTCCGTCCGACATCACCGTGGCCCAGTTCATGTGGATCATCAGGAAGAGGATTCAACTGCCATCTGAGAAGGCAATATTCCTCTTTGTAGACAAGACTGTCCCACAATCCAGGTGAGAGGCTATTCACTTGGTATTCAGAATCATTACAGCAAGCCTGTGCTTATTAGGGGGTCAGTAAAATCACTCTTCGAGGCTCATTTGATGATTTTAGGAGATGTCTATCACATCTTAATCTCACTAAGAGTTTTTTTTTTTCTCATGAATTTGATAAACGTCTTATTTCTTGAGCTAGGCTGAAAGGAAGGGTGACTGAAAAATATACTATGATTTACTTCCATGGCATAAGGGTGAGCTTTGCAGTTACTGTGTCATTGCATTTGGTTGAGTGCAAAAACACGTGCATCATCAATGTCAAGAAAACAATGATTCTCGATATAAGAAAAAAGGTTACACATTAAATACTCGATAATAAGTGCCACAAATTATTTTGAAAAAACCAATAGCCTCTCAGTTTAAAAAGAAATTGTAAACTAGTTGTTGGTTCTTTTTTTAAAATTATTTTCTTCTATGAAAAAAAGAATAATTGCAGTAGAAAGGTTTTTCTTTCGCATTGCTGTAACATAGGAACAAGTTTCATTGTTTTCTGCGACATACGGAATATAGTAGAAGCAGCAACTGCAACTTTCTACACTAGACACTTTAGTAACTTTTAAGGAAATAGTATGCTGTTACGTGCCTTAGATGTGGTATTATTCTTAATACTTAACTATAAAATAAAGAGTCCCTCCAGGTAACCTGATACACAATAGGGACCCATGAGAACCATCCTTCTCTGCTTGTTTTCTTCTAACAGTACTGAGAATGTCTATATGTCATCTTTATAACAGTATTATAGAATTGCTAGGAGGAGGAGAGATCCATTGTCTCTTCTCATATGTTCATAATGAGATGTCACATCTCAGTTAGAAAAACAGGGCTTTGATCATTCAATATTAATGTAAAAATAGTAACTTCTTAACTGATAAACAAAACCACAATCTGTTCATAGCTCTGCTCATCTCACAGGCTTCAGTTTATGTAATAAACTGTATGAAGAGAGAAGGATGTTAAGGATTGGTGATCTATCTACTACTCACGAATTCTCTTCCATTTCAAATACGGCTTAGAAATCTTCCCAGCTCCTCTCTTGGGCAGAATGACATTGTTGTTTTTCCCCGTCACTCACATCCATCTCCATCTTTCAGTTTGTTAGCCTTTTCTCAGTTTTGGGAAGTCAGAGAAAGGTGAGCTGAGGAGGCTTCATTTGTGCACCCAACTGATGTCTACTGTTCCAACCATCTGTAGATAGATGGTTGGAGCAGCTGACCAGCCAAGTAATTGCTGGGGTTTCTTTTTCTTTTCAAAATAAGGAAGCATTCTGAAAAAGGCATTTGTGAAGAAATATAAAAAATTTACTCTCTGCAGAGTCCAGGATCATTTGTCTAACTTAGGAGGCAACTGCTTTTCATTTGCCCTCATTTTTTGTATTCTAACCTATACACAGACTTAAAAATTTTAGCTTTTATTAATCCTCGTTTATATGAGGTTCTAACTGTTAACATCGACAACTTGCATGAGCCAAGCAAACCATTTCTCTCTTTCCCTTTCAAGCTTAACTATGGGACAACTTTATGAGAAGGAAAAGGATGAGGATGGATTCTTGTATGTTGCCTACAGTGGAGAGAACACATTTGGTTTCTGAATGGTGGGTCTTGGCTACTGTACCATCCTGCTGTGTATCTTGTAAATAGCCGATCGTTTTTTGTTCTGACATCCTCAGAAGTTCCTTCTATACACATGCATTTGTAACTGGATTTATTTCTTAATATATTGCTAGGTCTTGTTTTATTAGACTGTTAAGTTATAAAAAGAAAGTTTTGTTGGTTTTGTGCATTTTTTTTTCCTCACAGCTATGAATTCCCAGAGCCTCAGTTCTTTGGGGGGGGGGGGGGCGGGGGCGGGGTTCATTTGATGACATTGATTAAATAATAAAGCAAAGTAGTTGGGCTACTAAAACATGAAGAGAAGAACACACATTTATTCTGTTTTGAGATGTCAGTTTAAGAAAAATAAAAACAGTAAGTATTGGAAACACTGGATTTGCTAGCTTATCCAAAGCCAGAAGCAAGATGCTGATCGTGTTAAATTGAGCTAGTATGTTCCTTTCTCAATTAACAAACAAATACAATAAAAATTCCTGTCCCAAACAGGCAGTGCTGTTATTTCTTTACCTTCATTTTGGCCAGAAAGTTACTCGTTGCATTTACTAGATGCTACACAGCTGTTTCTGTTACTTACCAGACATTGTACAGCTTCTCAAATTTAGTGTGTGGCTGTTGATACCTGGAAGAAACAAGGAGCTCTTTGTAGGTTTCAAAGCCAATAGCTTCAGAGCTACTATATCTCACAGCTACTTGTGTTTACAGGCAAAGAGGCAAACCCTTGGATTGTGTGGGAGAGGGTGGGAATACCAGCTAATTGACCTAATTGCACAGTGCTGGAGTTCACACTCTGATATTAGAGGATAGCACTGTGTGGAAGTAGCATCACTTTGACCTTCCTAAGCCAGCAAGGAAATG